AAAAAAAAAACTGGCTAAGAAACACAGTTTTTTCACATTTATTTTGACTATACAAATTTTTATTTTTTTTATTATCTTCCCATGAATTTTGTATATCTAAGGCACCTAAAAATTCATACAGTTGATAGTGTTAAGTCTGCTCTACTGGGTGAGAAACTAATTAGAAAAGAGGACTGAACTTTCTTTAATCTTCTGAAATTCATGTTTCATGAAGTTTATTCTCTAGAAACTGTGGGTCAGTTGAGTTCAGCAGAGATAAGAATCCTGGCATTGCACAGTGAACTCCTGGCCATCTGTTTTGCTATTTCTATTGATACTTTACTTCCCTTCTCTACTAAAAAGCAATTTTCCCCAGAGGCACTAAAAGGCATTAGTAAACAATGGGATGTTTCAAAGGTATATTTTTAAAATAATAGTATTAGCATTAGTCCTTTTCTTAAAGTTGGCTTTCACTTTGCAGAAATATTTCCCACATTATATATAAAACTCTGCTTTTACAACCCAGCAGATGTCTTCATTCCTAAGGAATGATTTTCCTTTGTTTTATAGTTAGAGTTAATGATAGTGTTACAATGCCTTGACCAAAAGAAGAGAAACTTACTGCTGTGTAAGGATGTGTCAGGTGTTAATAAATGGAGAGTGGTCATTTAACCCTTAATTAGTGTTACCATCTCTGTTATTTCAAAAACCTGTCGGTTATGGAGGTAAATGTAAACCCCCAGGATTCAGGCCAAGTTCCTAACTTGCAATCACCACTCTTCATGAGTAACACTGTCTTAAGCATAAGAAGCAGAATTTCATCCAGGTAAAACAAATGAATCATGATGAAAGATGTCAGATATGACGTTCTATAATTTAGGTTTTGCATTTGGTATCATATCTGTTAATTGGACACTATTTTTTGTAACCATTAGTCAGCACTGAATCTTAAAATAGTCAAATAACAAAACAGATCAGAACCATAGAAGGAAAAATAGTCTTCTATTAAATTGTTTTCCTTTGGCGCCCTCTGTCCATAGGTGGCTCATTTTAGACCATCAAAATTAATCTGTTCACTCCCTATACTTTCCCTGTCTTATTTCATTACTCAAAGCTATACTTACATACTTGATTGTGATAGTCATTGTATACTTATAATAAATAATACTTCTCAAAGGCTACGTGTTAACTAGAGAAATGGAATGACATATAAATTCTTTTTGAGCCTATATTAACTCAGAGCAAGTGTGGGTTTTCTCCAAGTACTCAAATCTCCTAACTGCACGGCCGAATGTCAAAGCTAGTGTGTCCCTCTACAAATGTGCACAGTTTTCAGATATTACTAACACCAAGAAAGACAATATTTCAAAGTGATGTGTTCTTATAAGAATTTTGAAACCCAAAACATGCTTCTTAGTATTAGTAGAACAATATTGGAGAATTGTACATGTGTTTGGTTTGCTCTAAGATCTTATATCCTGTGATCTAGAACCTAAAAATATTAACTTCTAGGTTATTTCACATTGTATTGAAGCATTTTTCAGTTCAACCCCAGTAATATTTCTTAAATTTGATTCAGATTTCCATGATAAACAATGAGTAATTGCCATAGATTATTAGTTTACATTATAACTAAATTAATCCTTGTCATTTTAGTTTATTATATACCATTGCATCTGTGATATCTAGAAAGTTTAATGGAAAAATTCTTGTTCTCAATGTCAGGCTATAATTTAGACACATAATCCTACATGCATGCTACACATTTCACAGCTGCTGGGTAAAATGAATTCAAATTCAGATGGTACAGACTGCACAGAAATACAGAGGATTCAAACCTAAAAAGAAAAAAAAAAGAAAAAAAATCCACAAAGTGGAGGTCAATCGGACAGTCTATTGGAGGAAATATCTGGTGAAGTGTGCATTGGTATGTTGGAGAGGACCCATGCACATGAGCAGGGAAGGGGAGGAACCCTGTGATGTGGGTTAGGGGGAGTCCATGCACATGAGCAGGGGAGGAGCCTTGGGATGTGGGTTTTAGGGTTCCATGCGAATGAGCATGGAGGGGGAGGAGACTTGTGCTGTGGGTTGGAGGGGGTCCATGCACATGAGCATGGAGGGGGAGGAGCCTTGTGGTGTGAGTTGGAGGGGGTCCATGCACATGAGCAGGGAGGGGGAGGAGCCTTGTGGTGTGGGTTGGAGGGGGTCCGTGCAC